GTGGGGTGAATATTGTCTGCATCACATGATTTGTCATTTGTTTCTTGCCTTTCTATAGCTGATTTTATCTCGTCTATGGAAATATGGTTGTTCAGCGGATCATCTTCATTGTAACTACTTGCAGATTTGCTGCTAACATTCTTTAATTTACTGAACTCATTATTTACATGCATTTCGTGCTCTTGGTCATTGGGTTGGTTTTGAAGGTGTTTTCCTGTGAAGAAAGTATTAAATAACAGCTCTTCCTTATCTTTTTCAGATGTGACCAGCAAGTCACAGTCTTTGAGGTTGCAGATGAAGTTGTCAGTTTTGGCCCCAAAAACTCGTTTATATTTTCTCCAGAATTGAGTGCAGTCTTTGGTGTTTAGTGCTTCAACTCTGTCACGAATCCATTCATTCTTTTCTTTAATCAGCGCTTTTTTGAATGATTCAATGCTTTCAGTGAGTGTGGCCTTGTTTCTGGGAGTTGACCTTTGCTTGAATCTTTCTTTCGCTTCTAGAGCTTCATTAGATAGAGTTGTAAGTGCAGGACACCAATATGGTTTTGAATGAATGGATACTGTCTTCTGAGGGATGAACATTCGGTTAGCCTCCTGTATTTTATGTAATAACTGTTGCCATAGCTGATCCCCTTGGTTTAATAACTCTGGGGCCGAACGAAGATGTTGACAGTTAGTCTCGATTGCATTTGACCATCTTTTCCAGTCTGCATTTTTCCAGTCCATACACACTCTGGGGACAGTGTCTGATTTTGGAATCCCTCTGCAGATTTCTTGAAGCACCGGATAGTGACCTCTTCTTGGGGCACCTGAAAATAATTCAACATCTTTATCCATCCACTGATTTCCCAACTTTGAGATGATGGGGCCTTCGGCTAACACTAAGTCAATAACACTTCCTCCATTTGTACAGACAAATGTGCAGTCGTATGGCGAGCAGAGAGTTAGGGTTTCCTTTTCAACGTAGTCTAGAAGCTTCTTTCCTCGCTGCGTGGTAACATGATCTCCCCAGTCATGATGTCTTGCATTAAAGTCTCCATATGTGAGAAGAGAGTTGAATTTATATTTAGCCTTATATTCTCTTGCTTTATCAATGTGGGCAAGGAGTCCTTCAAATTTTCTTATGGAATCATTAGAGTTATTGCAAGGTTTGCAATAAACTGATCCCACCAAATATCTCTTTCCTTCAACTTTTATTTGGCACCAAACAGCATCAACTTCGTCTACGTTAAGGTCATAGACCAACTCTGGATGTAGTGAAGGATCAATGACGAGCGCTACCCCAGCTGTCCCTTTATTTATGTCCCCAGCTTTATGAAATACCTTTTTATGAAGGAAACTTCCGTCTGATTGAGTTCAAGAGCTTGTTTCTTGAACCGCCATCAAGAGTATCTCATTTTCGTAGATAAACTTGTCAAGTGTCATCTCAGAGTTAGTTGACATCTTTGCTATATTTATTTGGCCAAAGATCATAATCTACTGTTGGGTTGTGTGGGTGATTTTGAACATTTGTTTGGTTGCATGTTGAGTTTCATGACAATATTTTGGTATGTTGAACAATCTCTGTTTGTAGCTACATGGCCAAAGACATCACAATTAATACAGTAGTCTCTTCGGTTACTCTTGCATTGATTGGAGTGGTGATTGTCTCCACATTTGCTACATGTTGCATGGTTTTGGGTACAAAGTTTAGCAACATGGCCAAACCTGTAACAATTGTAGCATTGGATGATTCTCCTTCTCGGCTTATACTCTTCCGCAGTATAAATTACCTGTCCGAGCTTTAACCCATTTCCTAAGCATTTCTCATAGTCTTCCTTAGTCTGAAAGTTGATCTTAAGAGTTTTCAGAGAAATGTTGTCCCGTGTCACAAATCTTTTTGCCCTAGCTCCTGGATAACACCTTTCCACAGAAATTGTTAGATCACTATCCTGAATGTTTGTGGGTACTCCTTTGAGAATGACTGCCCAGCTTAGCTTTTCTAAGATCCTGCATTCTGTAGTCATGTTACTGTTTGCAAAGAAATCACCTTTCCATGATTCTTCTACTCTTATTGCATCTTCTTTAGATGTGAGCTCAATCATCAATGATCCACCTTTGGTGACAAATGTCGATTTTATGGCCATATCTTTAAAATATTTATTGAAGTTTCTCTTAATAGTTGCACTGTTTTTAAGATAATTTCTTGAGAGTCCTCTTGAGACTAGGACTGTCATGGAGTCATTAACAGTGGTTTCTGATGGCTGGTGAATGTAGTATTGTTTGCCCTCATATGTTTTATCTTCTGCTATGGTACTGAAAAGATCCAGGTTTGTGTGTCTTGTAGAAACACCTTGATGTCCAATTGCAGTTCTCTTGAACTCTACTCTGTTCATCTCTTTTAGGATGCTTTTATTTTCCTCCGTTATGTTATGCAGTGTGCGAAGTGCTTCATCCATACCACTGTCGGCTTGTGGGACTGAGGATACTTTGTTAATCAAGGGAACCCCCTTAGCTAACAAATTTCCCATATTCTCCGTTAAATTCGTCTTTAGATATTCAAAGTGTTTCGTTTCACTCTCTCGAAAGTCTTTCATTTCAGCCTTCATTTGGGATATAGATCTTTCGATAGAGCAGATTGCAGAGTGTTGCGATGCTAATACATCAACTTGGTCACTCAGAGTTCTGTTGATGTGGATATTTTGTTCTGAACTACTGATATTTGAGTACAATGTCAATGGGTCAACCATCTCTTTACTACAAACTAGCATATCTTGTGAGTCTACCTGGATATTTTTCTTTTTTCCCCCATCTCTTCTTTCAGGTGTTGAGGTTCGGATTGGACAACAAACTGGAGGATTGAGGTCTGGTGTTTTGATTATAGAGTCTTCTAGATGTGTATTGGACTCAATGGATCTCAAGGACAGACTGCTGCTGAAATTTCTGTCAGATTTGCTGCACAAGATAGAGAGGTTATCATATGTATCTGAAGCTGACAGATCTGAGATGTGTTCAGTTGGGGCCGAGTCATCTATGGAGGCGCTATCAGACAGCTGTTTATAGGGGTGAATTGTTGTTTGCGTGTCCACATCGTTTCTCATTACAGTTGTGTACTCCCCATCTTTTTTGGTTAACTCTGCGATTTTAGCTTTAACTTTTACGGTGGCTAGATCCAGAATGTGGTTTAGTAGGCTTGGAGAGTCGCATGAATTACAAAGCCAATGCAAATTCTCAATTTTGCATATATTTCTATATGTGGAGTCTGCCATTGGCTTCTTTCTAGTTTCACCAGATCTTTTGGTTGTTGTTGTTGTTGTTGTTGTTTGTGAATCATAACATTTGTAGTGTACTTTCAGTTCACAGTATCCGCATGTGAGCAACTCCTGTTTGCATTCATTCTGGCAATGGCAGCATATCATCCCAGAGTCCTCTTGGATAACATGCAAGTCTTTCTTTAATATGGACGGAACAAGTGAAAAGTCTGATTCAAGATCGATCTGAAATGTGCTCGGTGTGTTCACAGATGTAGGACTTTTCGTTATGAGTTTCTGATTTCCCACTTTGTTATTGGGTCCTGATTTTTGATTTGCAGAGTTATGTAAGGATATTTTGAGATGTGTCTTTAAAGGGGTATGAGGTGGTGATTGCATCTTTGTGAATAGAGTCTTGACTTGAGAGACATACTCCTTGTTCTCGGCAAACTTGATACAGGACCAGGAACAATCCAAGGGAGTTTTCATAGAAAATGCAAAGAGTGCATAGTCAAAGTTACTAGGTGCTCCAAACTGCTGTTTGAATTCTGTACCAGACTTGAGTTTGGTTGCCAGCCAGGTGTGGGGGTAAGAAAGTGCTCTTACTTTTGTATCAACAATGTTTTCAAGTCGTTCTTGGCCAACTGCAATCATCTGTGGGAGTGTTAAGGCCCACCATGGGACATCTGCTACATCGTGTAGTTTTTCTCCTATGTGCATCTGGTATAGCACTTTCTTTTTGTCTTCAAAGTTTAATGTTTTGCCAGAGTATGCAAGAACAATATCTTTAGGCAGGGAAATTTGGTGAGCAGTATCTGAAAGTTCAACAAAGGAGCAAAGAAAGTTTGACTGCCCATCAAAGCAAAATAAAACTTCTAAACTTGGACTCAATAGTTGAAGCTGTTTGTATATGTGACTTGTTTTTATACAGTTTGTGAGCATCTTTTTGTTTGAGGCTGACACAACAACTGAGTCTGTAGTCTCTAATAGATTACAATACAAACTTTCGAATTGGTTGTTTTTTGCAGTGTCAACTGTTGCAATTGACACAACCTTTGGTTTGTTAGGTTTCAGTTTATTAAACATCTTTGTGTGCCGTCACAAGAAACCAAACCAAGTAGAATTGTTACAGCTCAGAGCTTTTGTAAAACTAGCTTTAACTGTCACAATTCTATGATATCTGACTTGATTAATGTCTAGTCAGAGTAATGGGGTGTTAAGCTTTACTGAACTAGCTTAACTTTCCAGAAAGAGCTTTAAAAACGAGCTCTTGAAACAGGCAACACTTGGCTAAACTTTACTATAACTAGTTTTGCTAAGTGATTGTCCTTGTTAATGTCTATACACTGTTCGTTGTCAAACTGAATTCCAAATGTTTCCGAATTGATTAACAGTTTACAGTTTACAGTACCAAGTAGTAGAAAGTAGCTATTTTGTTCTCTTTGGACGTAGTCTGATTGTCTTTGCAGCCTTTGCTTTGCGCTTCGTTTAGAGATCGATTTCCCAACACCTGAAAGGATATGGGCACCAGAAAAGTGTGATAGGGATTGCCAGCAGTGCTGACAAAAGAGCTTTTCTGAGTTTAGATGAATGACAATTAATCTCAGCTGTGAAACTCACCGTTTAGGTATGAGTTGGGGTGGTTGCTGAGATGAGTGAGTGAGGAACACGAAAACTATTGTGTATTCTGCCAAACTTTAGTCATGCAACATACAACAATCTGCAATTGTTGTTACATTCTATTGAGGTGTGATGTCCCACTAGGGCTCCTCAATAAATGTAATAGATTTGTAGTGTTGTAATTAGTTTAAAAGTTAGTTTAAGCCAACTAGAACACCCATGCCCCCTCCTAATGCTGATACATATATAGACCCTGCCAGATCTGAACTAATTACTGAGAGAAATGTTGAAGATGTAATCAGGAACAATGTTCAGAATTATGAAACTGCAGCAGTCAAACGGATAAGTATCTACAGTACTCCATTGAGTGCTCCATTTATAAGCTCAAAACCCGGGATTCGCAGTTACTTGCAGAGGCAATTCTCCCCTGTGGATTTTCATGCATTTATTGTCATTGAGACAAGTGATGGAATGTGGTGGGCACTTGATAAGATCAGGGAAGGAATTTTCGTCAGTTGGGGAAGAAGTCTTGATTCTGTTCTATTCCATTTCAACAGAGAACCACGTGCTACTCCTGTCCACTGGATAACTCAAGATTCGTCAACTGTCTCAGTCGGGAGAATAGTCAAACATCTGAAATATGTTTTGCCGCAAAATCTTTACGAACCTTTTAGAAGTAACTGCCAACATTTTACAAAAGAAATATTTGATAAGTTTGCAGAAAGGGAATCTTGGAAACTCACTACACCCACTGATCTGACAAGTCCACTAACATTGTTCAGCGATGGTGGAAATCCTTTTTACGCAATATTGTATAGTACCTCATTTGTCTATGAACTTTATCTTCTGCTCAATGATGGTATGGGGAATGATTCATTTTATTACTATCAGTATTTAGTGGGCATATCAATAATGGTCTTGCCAATCATAATATATTTTACTAATAAGGCTAAGGAGGAAACAAATGATCTTTTAGGATCGGCAATTTCATTTATGTTCCTCCTTGTCCTTTTAGTAGAAGGAATCTTTTACACACCTCTAGGTGCTGTCAGAAGGCGAGGAGCACAGTATGTAAAGATTTGGAGATCAGGTCCTATTATCTATACATTGTGGTCACCACTAAGTTATACAATGGTTTATGTAGTTTTGACATATGTCCTCCTTGGGTTTATATTACTTGTAACTCTAATTTGCCTGTGGAAATTACTGCCAACTCAGATAACTTCTTCCTTATCTTTTTTTGAAAATATCTGTATTTGGTTGAAGCCCTTCCTCATCAAGGCAACCATTACAGCATTCCCTGCTACTTTTTTTGTATGTACTGTGATATACTTCTATTCACAGGAATAGATACCATGGTTGAGGTTTTGAACCTGGTTAACTTTTCGGGTACCTAATCTTGTATTGGGATAACATTTAATCGGCTTAACAATTTTACCCTTCTTGTAAGGAGCTGAGAGATGAGCTTCTAGTAATATGTTTACTATAATATTTTACTCTTAACAATTACTCAGGAAGCTATTTAGTTATTTGCTGTAATTTATAAATGCTATAAGCATGTCAGAAATACGAGAATATACCAGAAACCTGAAACATATTATCAGTAATTGTAGAATTGAAAACTAAAGTGGACGCTTGGTGCCAAAAGCATCATACAAATTTGTTTTATTTCAAGTAAGAACATAGCATAGATATTAATTTTTAGTTTCATTTTTAATGGGATAATTAATTGTGCACAGACTAGTCTGTTTTTATTGTTGAATTCATGATTAATTTTTAGATATTTCCGAAGTTGTGAAGTTATTTTTAAGAGTTTTTTAAATATTTTATTTCGCTTATCATGGACACTTCCTTCACACTTAAGTTTGTATTGATTGATGGATACTACTTGAGAAACTATTACAGGAAAAAATATGACTAAATTGATTCGTTAATTTTCTTTTTTCTTTGCTTAGTTCGAAAATATTACTAGAATTGTGTTTATCGTTTGTTAATGTATCCTAATTAAATAAAAAACCTGTAGATTCGCAATTTTTGATGATAAACGTCAGGTGATTCGAGTTGTAATGTATCCAGTAATAAGATTGGTATGTAATATGTTGTATATAATAACAAGTAGCTGAGCTACTGCAATCGTAAAATCTAGGGGGGGGGGGGGGGGGGGGGGCGTCAAATCGCCGTTTGAATGTGGGACAATTTTGAAAAACTTGATCTGCGGTACTAGCAAAACTGTGCGTTTTATTCTAGAAACATACTTTTTAAAAGATATCCTTTAAAATCACCTAATTTTTCGGCAGGGGCGCCAACAGGCAATGTTATGCCACTGGTGTGATGATGTTTGTTTCATTATTATTTGATTTGATTGATATTTGGAAAGAACAGTAGCCCACAGTAGCGTATACCTTGACCTTTGCTGTCTCTAAATTTTAAAAGTTATAAAATATGGTGCCGCTTATATCATTTCTTTGTAGTCTCCTTTCAAGTTACTGTTCAGAAAACAGGAGAGCGGCTCGATATTTTTGTCACTCTTTACAATAAATTGTGCATCACGTAATCAATTCATTATTATTTTACACCTTAAAAGTTAAAAGTCCTTGCATTTGGCCAAAATGCTGTCAAAAATTGTTTCCAGGCCCATTAAGACCTAAAAAATTGTCATGCAGAAGTGGGGAACAACCTATTTGAAGCTGATGTTTGCCCTTTTTTGCAAAAATGTTAAGTGAAAGGTTACGAATGGACGTTTTTGCAGAAAAAGATTGATTCGGGGATCGGGGAGGTGGCTCTCGATTTAGTGTCTGTTCGTCACACTTTACCATGACAGAGCTTGTAGTAAACGGAAATTTAGCATCCGCCATATATAACAAAAAAACTGGTGCAATTCTTGTTAGAGATAGTGAGCAATGAATTTTATGAATTTTGCTCACAAACAATCGTTTAAAACTATTGCTTTGTAATATTTTAATAATTGTAACTTCACCTTTCAACTATCCTAGGGATGGCTGAGAATCAATAAAAGGTGTAAAACTGGTTCTATGTCCTCACGACCAGGGTACACTGTTCCTCCGCCCAGGCATTTTGAAAACAGTGGATCCCATTACTACCCACACGGTTACAACCAACCCTCAGCGTCTTCAAGTTCGAGGTAATTTACTGTCTTACTTTTTAAAATTTTTGAATTCACAGGTATCATGTTGGGTACATAATGACATTTTGGTGTGCAATGTAATGTATATCAAATTATAATAAACAGTAGACACATTGCAATGACATTTTAAACTTATATTTTAGCATAAGCATGACCTTTTAAAAATGATGATCAGCTACAGAGACCTACTCTGCTGCATAATCTATGAAATAAATGGATTATCCTTTTAACAGCAAAACTTTCAGGTACAACAGTGGACCTACGGAACCTGGTATGCCAAAACTTCTGGCACCCTCGTACTACGACTCATCACCCGAGAGATCTTCACGATCTCCACACTCTAGCTCTGCCCTTGCCAAGAAGAACAAAAAGAAAAAGAAACAAAAGAAGAGCAAATTGTCAAGAGAAGATCTTCAAGTTTATCTGAACGATGAAGAGTTCGCTGAACAGCAGAGGTCGGTAGAATGTTCCAATTTGAATCCCATCGCAGATCTAGACTTAATAGGGTTTGTACCTTGTAGCCCTTGTGGTAATTTAAAGAATATGATCGAATTAATGCACTATTTAACTGCCACGTTCATTACACTGGCCACTGATAATTCGTAATTGCGTGCTATGATAAAATCATGTCAATATTCTATCAATATTCAATAATAAATTTCTCTCAAGAACTTGAACCATTGAACCTGTCTTAATCTATTCTATCATCCCCAGAGCAAAAGAGAAGAAAAAGTCGAAGAGAAAGAAACACAAATCCCACCTTGCTCCAGAACTTCTGCCTTCAAGTACCTCAATAAGAGATCATCTACGAGAGGGGTTTAGTCCTCCAAGGAAGAAACCTAGGGATTTATTGATGGACGAAAGGGATGCCAGGGGTCACCCGAAGCCGCGAGAGTTATTGTTGGATGAAAGGGATGCTAGAAATCGTCACAAAGCACGGGAATTAATGTTGGATGAAAGAGATTCCAGGGGTCACCAAAAACCCCGTGATTTGATGATGGACGAAAGGGATGCTCATGCTAGAAGTCATCAGAAACCTCGAGATTTGATGATGGACGAAAGGGATGCTAGAAGTCATCAGAAGCCCCGAGATTTATTGATGGATGATAGAGATGCTAGGAGTCACCATTCAGGTTGGTTAAAATTAAGTATTTTTAAATACTGATCCACGGCATAATTTTCAGGTGGTATGGCTGAAATTTTCAGTGATATGCCTGGGTTTTCTTTATCACTATTACACTTTTTCATTGGTCAGGACTCTTTTTATATTAGAGAAAATTGTGATCTTTCTCAATTTTGGTACATACACCGTACTATGAAATTGTACTCCTTAACTTGAAACACCAACGAAAAACTGTTGATTTTAGGAGAAGTATATCTTATCAATCAATAATTTAAACCTGCACCATAAAACAACTGCCAGTTAAAAATCCAATACCTTTTCAGACAGCAGATCACCTTACATTTCATCAGCCAACAGAGGGTCCCCATATCCACCACGTGACCACTTTCCCCGGGATATCAGAGATCCCTTCCACCGATCACAAGACGAGCCCAGGCCAATGCCAGGACGATCACCATTCTCTGGGGACGGTCGAGAAGCGTTTCCACCGAGGGAGCCAAGAGATCACCGGAAAAAGATAGATATACCTTCCGCGTATGCTGACAGACAGCGGTCTCCAGTACGGGGTCGTAATCGGTCGGCGAGCAGATCCCCTAACACTATGAAACTCAATCATAAACGCGAAAAGGTATGGCCTTAAAATTATTAGTATTAAGGACTCACATTTAAATGGGTGAGAGGGTTTTTATTCCAAAAATGGAAAGAAATTATCTTTGACTTTAAATTCTCTTTAAATACATCCATTTTGGTGATGGAATAACTGATACTCAACTACTTCCACATTATCGTTCATTTAGATGACGTCACAAATTCATTTTTCAGATCAGAAAAAAGCTGGCTGCACTAAATCGGGAGGAAGAAAAGATAGCGGAGGAAGCACGTAAAAAAGCGGAGACTGCTGCGGAAGAGGATGCCAAACAGAAAGCGGAAGAAGAAAAGATGAAGAGAGATCTTCAAGAGAGAAGAAACATCGCCATTGCTGCTGCTGGTGAGTTTTAGGGGAATTCCAGGTTGTGTTAAGCTCAAAGCATGCCTCTCAAATAAAAGCGACTCAGCCGTATCTTCCTTTGTTCAGTTTTCTTTAATCATTTCACACACAGACTGCATCCAGATTGAATGGTATGAAAACAAAAATCATGTTTTTCTTCAGTATGGCACTGTCATCTGTCTCATATCATATTTTATAACCCTGCAGTCGCTAGCAGCGAATATCCATCATAATCTCAGTTAGCCTTCATCCCCAACGTGACGTCACACTTCCTCACGTGACGTCACACTTCATACGAATGTGTTGTGACACCCCGCTCCCTCACACAGTCCACCTCACAAACTTCATTACCCACACCAGGCTACGAATGGAAAGAGAAACAGAAACTAGAAAAACAATCTCACCTCCAAAAAGGCAAGATAACGGCTGCACTTTCATTTTGGTTAACACCCAATTGACTACCTTACGAGACATATTTATGTTCGACATAATTCCGGTGACCTAAATGATTTGTGAACGAAAATATGGGAATTTTTACCAAAAACCGCCACATTTCGTACCCCAAATTAAATCATGGTATTTGGGAATTTTTTTCATCTCCTTATTTTACAAAAATGAAACCCAATATTTGAGAAAATTAGATACAAAAATCTTCTCTGATCATCTGTTTCATCTTGTATACAATTTCTTCTGAGCCTTTGAAAGTTAGCCTTATAATCCTCCAGAGGTTATAGGAGACCGACAGTGTTTGCTATCTTCCATTAATCCCGAAATTTCACCGACTTGGCCAATAAAGTAGTGACAAAGATTGCTTATTTTTAATGGAACGTGTCCAAAATCATCTTAAAAGCAATTCATGATCGAATACTAGTGTTCATTAATTGTTTAATTGTTTGATGAATCATATTTATAACTTACTATATTGATAAGTTGATAGTAAATCGATAGTCATAAAGTCCGAAAATATGGTGTTTTTTTCGAAAAACCACCGAGTTTCGTACCATTTAAATATGTCTCGTAAGGTATGTTGTTAGGGCATTTCAGCTGCAGTTCAGGCTTAAGGTGCAGTTGTTTTGAGAGACACCTTTTCATCATAGAAAATTCCTTTTCAAAATTTATCACTTGCTTCCAAAAGATCAAATAACGGAGTAGTTCGCTGTTTATTAGTCTCATGATTGAAATACTGATATCTGGATATTATCCGGTTGGAAGAGACAAGGACAAGTGAAACAAGGAAGTTAGGAGTAAGGGCAAATTTTCGGCGTCAACGCCATCTTCAGGCTAAAATTGTTATAAATGTTAGTATATAATAAATGCTTCTATACTAGTTAAAATGCTAAATTAAAATTACACACACTGAATACAGGTTACATCAAATGGTATTGTACATTACATTAAAAATAGTGATGTACACACGTTTTACACTCTGTCCAAGTACATAATATCTACTGAACAGCAGGGTCGTGTGCTATTTGTTTAAATTTGTCTTTGAATATGTTGTAAAAGAAATCCCTTAAGCTTCTCGCACTCTTCTTTGTTATTGATACTGGGTTTAAATAAATTAATGTAGTAAGCTTCTGTCACTTTACGTTTAATGGTGCTATATAAGTTAATTTTTAAAATATCGAAGGAAATATCTGGTTCTATGTTATCGTGAAACTCTGAATAATGAGCAGCCAACGCATTATCAGGATAGGTTAAAGGCCTGTTGACTGCTCTTCGATGCTCTGAAAATCTATCGTGTGCTGTTCTACTCGTTTCCCCTATATATAGCTCTTGACATAATTTACACGTAACTTTGTATATGACACATTTTGGTTTGCAGTCGTGATTTGTTGTGATGAGTGGACATATGATACAGTTTGGTATGGTGCAGTGTGGTTTGTCGTGTGGTCGTGATGAACATAAGATCTCTGAGAGTTTCTTACCTGGTGTGAATATGAATTTGACCGGTAAGTTGTGTGAGAGGGCAAATTGAGTGACTTCTTTGGAAAATGGCTCGTTGATGAATGGTAGAGTGCATGTTACGTGGTCGGTATCTTGTATGTTTGATGATGAAGGGTTATGACGTGTTGTAGGTGAGAGAGGGTGAAGTCGTCCTGTTTTGTTTATACGTCGTGGGTCTTGGTAACCGTTGTTGACCAACAAGTTGTCTACTATCTTCATGGACTCTTCTTTATACTCTGGTGTTGATGAGCAAAGAGCAGCCGTTTTGTAGAAGTTCTTGATGGTTGCTACCCCAGATGATACATGCCCGACCAGCTTCGCATTTATTAAGTCGAAAAACGTGCCATTTCAACGACCGTTTGCTGGTGCTCCACCCACCACCAACCTCGCCATGGAACATCACCTCCGCCAACTGTGTTACATCATTAACACCAGATTAGAACACAGTAAAGTACCCTCTAACCTAACAGCAAAACAACGGGAGGGACTCAAATCCTTGATTGCAAGAAAAGAAGAACTCCACTTCTCGAGAAGCGACAAGGGGGGTGAGTTTGTGATTATGAGCAGTGGAGTACAACAGCAGATTACGCAGAAACATCTGTCAGACATGACCTCGCAAGAAGCGTACACCTACGTTGCACCTACCACCACGCGACAAAATCGGATCCAACCAATAGCAAACCCCTCAGAAGTCTCCTACAGCCGCCTCATCAACAGGGTTACTGAGAGACTAGAGACTGAGAGTAATGTGTTATGGACAGAGATAAGTAGGATGTGTAATTATGACAGCAAAACAGTAGACTTATTTAAATCACATAATACCCAACTACCGACTATTTATTTAATACAGAAAACTCATAAATTTGATTGTAATGTCTTAGTTTCAGATGTAGATATTATTTCTAATTGTAAAATACGTCCAATTGTGTCTTGTATAAATTCCCCTTCTGAGAAGCTTGCTTGGATTGTTAAATCTATTCTATCTCCTCTGCTTAATCATGTTCCATCTCACCTGAGCAATATACACACTCACCTAGAAGAGCTTCAAAACATGTCACATCAACAACTCTCAGGTCTCTCATTCTTCACAGCTGACGTCACAGCACTGTACACAAACATCAACATCAGTGGCTGCATTCAAGACCTCATTACACTCACCGAAGAACATTGGGAAGACCTCGACACCTGGGGTCTAACACTCACGCACATCCACAAGATCCTTGAATTCGTCTTCACCAACTCATACTTTACATATCACTCAAGACTCTACCTCCAGAAAATTGGTCTCTTCATGGGGTGCCAACCATCACCAATAGGAGCGATAGTACGAGTATATATGTTCGAGAGAAGATCGATTTACACTGATTTACACGTCTCATTCTACCGGAGATACGTGGATGATGCCGGGAGTCTAGCCAGCTCCAAAGAAGAAGCTCTGAGGATAGTGGAGTCCATCTCAAACGAGGACCCAGACCAGTTGCTCAAATGGGAAATTGACTATCCGGAAAGCCGTCAGGATTTCACCCCATTCCTCGACACCCAGATAAAGATCGACGAACAGGGAACACTACACCACAAATTCTACAGAAAGAAGCAGAAAAAGAATATCACACTGCACGCCAACAGCCACCACAATGAGGGAACTAAAGTAGCAACCATCAAGAACTTCTACAAAACGGCTGCTCTTTGCTCATCAACACCAGAGTATAAAGAAGAGTCCATGAAGATAGTAGACAACTTGTTGGTCAACAACGGTTACCAAGACCCACGACGTATAAACAAAACAGGACGACTTCACCCTCTCTCACCTACAACACGTCATAACCCTTCATCATCAAACATACAAGATACCGACCACGTAACATGCACTCTACCATTCATCAACGAGCCATTTTCCAAAGAAGTCACTCAATTTGCCCTCTCACACAACTTACCGGTCAAATTCATATTCACACCAGGTAAGAAACTCTCAGAGATCTTATGTTCATCACGACCACACGACAAACCACACTGCACCATACCAAACTGTATCATATGTCCACTCATCACAACAAATCACGACTGCAAACCAAAATGTGTCATATACAAAGTTACGTGTAAATTATGTCAAGAGCTATATATAGGGGAAACGAGTAGAACAGCACACGATAGATTTTCAGAGCATCGAAGAGCAGTCAACAGGCCTTTAACCTATCCTGATAATGCGTTGGCTGCTCATTATTCAGAGTTTCACGATAACATAGAACCAGATATTTCCTTCGATATTTTAGAAATTAACTTATATAGCACCATTAAACGTAAAGTGACAGAAGCTTACTACATTAATTTATTTAAACCCAGTATCAATAACAAAGAAGAGTGCGAGAAGCTTAAGGGATTTCTTTTACAACATATTCAAAGACAAATTTAAACAAATAGCACACGACCCTGCTGTTCAGTAGATATTATGTACTTGGACAGAGTGTAAAACGTGTGTACATCACTATTTTTAATGTAATGTACAATACCATTTGATGTAACCTGTATTCAGTGTGTGTAATTTTAATTTAGCATTTTAACTAGTATAGAAGCATTTATTATATACTAACATTTATAACAATTTTAGCCTGAAGATGGCGTTGACGCCGAAAATTTGCCCTTACTCCTAACTTCCTTGTTTCACTTGTCCTTGTCTCTTCCAACCGGATAATATCCAGATATCAGTATTCCAAAAGATCCTTCAGATTTAATCGCTGAAACAACTATTTTTTACAGCTATTTTTCAAAGCACGTTTTACTGCACGTTTTACGCAGCTTGCATGCAATTTTAAATTTGTATTCTGTTTCTCAGCCTTAATTTACTTTCAATCACTTTCATTATATCTGATGATACCGATCATCAATATTTCAATGTTGTTCACGTTACATTTACGTTCACACTCCAATTCAGATAGTCTGTAAGATGTAAAATATATTCCCCCCACAATTTCATAACACACATGTGTTGTTCTTAACACAGACCTCCCCCTCAGAAGTTGTCCCCACCAACGGTTCCCTCCACCCCCACAACCCACACAACCACCATTCAGAGGATCTACCCGTTCCTCCTCCTCCCGCCAGAAAGGAGGACCCTCCAGCTACTATTACCCCTAAAAAGGAGGTAAACACTCCAGTGAAGAAGGAGGTCCCTCCGAACAAGAACCAGCCTTCCGCTCTCCCAGATCTGATACCTGGGTTCGGGGATAGGGTTAAAGAGACGGACAGTAGTCCTAACATTGATGCCATTTTGAGGTGAGGAGAGAGTATTTAGATCTTATCTTATAGTGGGGTGGTGAACCATATTTATCTGACACGTGACTGCGATTAACCAATCAGCGTTAAGAATTAACAACTCTGAAGTCTGAATCACGTATCAAAAGAAATATGGTTCACAATCACCTTCTCAACATTATCCAGATATTTCCAAGCTTTAAATAAAATATAAATAGTTAAATGGCAGTTGTGCCTAATGAATTTCGGTGTAAAACTGAAGAGCTATGGGTGACAAATAAGGTTTGAATGTTTGACAACCGATGGTGTAACGAAAACTAATAAAGAACATGATGTCATTCAGTTTAACAATTAATTTAGCGTCGTTTCTAGAATCATTTTCGTGTGAACAATTGCTGCGCAATTGTTTTTAGATTTTCCGTTTTTTAACACATTTTCTATTCAGGTCGAACAGGGAAAACTCGCCGGAGAACCCTAACTACAAAATTGATGAAGACGAGGGAATAAAACAGTTCAAAATCCTTGATAAAATTGGTGAAGGTACTTACGGCCAGGTAATTCATTTGCTCGTTTTCTTCCTTGTTCATTAAGAGTAATCATTTAATCAGTAAAAATTAACAAAAGGACTCTGTAGTCGGCAAATTTATTTACAATCACTATTTAAAATTTACGTGACAATGAATATAATAGATTTATTAGAAAAAAAGGTTGCAGTAAATATTATGATTACATTATATCTACGACCGTCGACCACGATTAAAACAGTAACCCAGTATCTGGAAGAATGCGGACAGTTTTAATCCCTAGAAAATGACAACATTCTATAGTTGCTTGATAGGCCGGCCACTCAGTACACCACTAAAATGAATTAAAACTTTGGCACTGCGCCCCCTTTATATATATATATCTTACATTATACTAAATGGTATAAATCAGGGACATGTCTATTGTTCTGTGAGGTCATGTAAATTACCAGCTGTAATGTATTCCTTCTTGTTATCTGAGGTTATATAAAGTTATTTAAAGTTCTATTGAGCTGCTCACAATTCATTTTGTAAGTTTTATCTTACACTAAACTGTGGTTCTATTTTCGGTGAATTTACTTTTCAGCAAAATCGTGGCCGCAATGAAATTCTCTTTGTGTGAGAGCGGTCATTTAATTTCCTGTTTTCTTGGCCCTTTCGGAATCTTAATCGACCATGTTCCAGCGCACGTTCAGAAAACTTATCTCAATTTATCCAGCTATATCAGTATATCACTACCTGTCATCTATCATTGATCTAGTGTTTATGTTTAATGTATAGATTGTAACATTTTACTATGAATACTAATGTCAGTGTAAATCTGTCAGTGAATCTGAGTTGAATTACTTTGGTCGAGAAATTACGGGAAATTAACCAACCAAATACATACCTCCAAAATCATTTATAGCAAATTCAAAGTTAACTAACAAACGGCATTGTCAAATTACTATTTTATAACCGAGGAATACCTGCAGGTTTACAAAGCCCGACACAATAGCAGCGGCGACATCGTAGCTCTAAAGAAAGTAAGATGTGACACCGGTAAAGAGGACAGCAAGAACAAAGAAGGGTTCCCCATCACAGCTGTTCGGGAGATAAAGATCTTGAAGCAGCTTCAGCACAAGAATATCATTAGTTTAAAAGCCATTGTTACAGATCGGTTGTCAGCCGATGACTACCGGCGGTCTGACGCGTCCATTTATTTAGTTTTCGAATATATGGACCATGATTTAATGGGTTTGATTGAATCAGATCTTGTTAAGTTTGGACCACGCGAGATAAAACTCTGTATGCGGCAACTGTTTGAGGGTCTCGCGTATTGTCACTCTAAAAACTTTCTTCACCGCGACATCAAGTGTGCCAACGTGCTACTAAACAATAAAGGAGAAGTAAAACTAGCTGATCTAGGATTAGCACGGTACTGGAGAAAGGATGATCCCCACAGACTCTACACAAACAAGGTTATTACACGTTGGTATAGGCCCCCAGAGTTGTTACTGGGTGAAGAACATTACGGGCCCGCGGTTGATATCTGGTCAAGTGGGTGTATTTTAGGGGAAATGTTTACAAAGCGACCGCTGTTTAGAGCGCGCAGTGAACAGGATCAACTAGAGGTCATCTGTAGGATTTGTGGAAGCCCCAATCCTGACAACTGGCCCAACGTTGTGAACTTGAGTTTGTACAGCTCTCTTATTGAGTATAATAAGAAAAAATACCCACGAATTGTGAGGAAAGAATTTTGTTATTTCCCCGAGCATGCATTGGATTTAGTCGACAAAACCTTGACTATGGATCCAGATCAGAGGCTTACAGCTGAAGAATGCTTGAAACACAAATTTTTGTCAGATGTTGATTTATCAAAGGAGCCCCCGATGCAACTACCATCGCAAGACTGCCATGAAATGTGGTGTAAGATGCATAAACGCAAGGAGAAAAATCGGAAGCAACAAGAACTGGGTTCGAGATTATCACAAAACCAAGTTCCACCACCCGGTAAAGCGGTACCATGAGATCAGCTTATGAGTTAATTATGTAATTGTATAATTAATTAAATAATTACGCAACGAGGGGTCTATGATATAATGATATTTTCTAATGTGTTGTCAGATGTTTTTGTACAGAAATAATGTAAGTGATGCGAGACCGCCGAAGAAATAGAACCAGACTGCAGAGCGAGACCTAAACGAGAAAGAAAAAAGACTTGGTAAAGTTGTGCTTCCTGGATTTTCCTCAGATTGTCGTGCTGAAATGGGCCACCGCGAAGTCTTCTGTGATAGATAATAGTTGTTTGATGATATATATGATAGTAATCTAAGTTATTTATTTTTCAATTTTATAGATTTTAGAATTCGAAATCGGGGTATTAGGTTTTGATGGTATGCCCTATGGATAAACCACTGTCAGAAATTCCCTCCTTGATCGGCGCAATTGTTGTTTAACCAAAATAAGATTTGTGATCTTAAAACATTTTTACCCTGCGCATCAAGCTAATTGACGAGTTTTCTGTGAATTTTATTCAAAAGGCGATCTATATATACGATATAATATATAAGTAATAGTTTTTAATTGTTGATTTTATGAAAACCTTCAAACATTTGATAGATAAATGATTTTTAGTAACTGGCCGGCATTTAAGTAATTTATTGCAAAAATTGTATAGTTTGATAAAGGAGCACCAACACAGGTTAGTATCGCTGTTTCAGATACTATAGCTTTTGAAAACTTCACACTTCATAAATTTTAGTTACAATTCGTGTTTTTCATCATATCGATGCGTCGGACGGCGGAAATGCTTCCTGGAAAGCCCTGTATTTTATGTAAACTCATAGATCAATTAATCAATTAATTTTTCTCTTCTAGACGGAACATTAATGTGTTATGAATGAACGGCTGTAATGAGGAGTGTAGTTGGGAAGATATCTACGACTCTGGTAACTACTTAGTTAATTTCTTAGTAAATTGCTTAATTGATCAATCAACTGATTTTTAGTGTATTACAGCGCTGACTTCTTAATGGTATCGACTAAAATAGTTTCACTTATTCGTTTGATTAAACACAGCCCTTCTAGATTTTTCCTTTTTCCAGGGCAGTTGGACGAGCAGCTAGAAAACTTCGACAGCGACCAACTGGAACCAATCGGGTAAATACCTGTTGTGTGACGTCACGCACTCTCACGTGACGTCATAGTGTTCGACATCTCGTTCATTTTCATTTTCCACTGATATTGTTATGAGTTCAATGCATTGTATAAAATGTTACCCATCCTCACGTGACGTCACACTCACTCACGTGACGTCACGAATTCTCACGTGACGTCCTATCCTCTCACGTGACGTCATATTGACAGGATCCCGCGTGACCAGCAGGGGGAACAGAGCACAGTGGATAATCTTAAAACCGACAAACAGATAAAAATCCTGAAGCGGAGCGAGGCAAGGTAATTTTCTGTGACACCAACATGCCATATATTTACTATCTTCATAGTTTATCATGTTGCTGAGTAATAATGACATGATGATGTCTTGAAATGTTGATATGTTGAACTATTATACTTTCTCTATCTCTATCATTTTTAATGTGTGATCTTTTTCCAGTCGAGAGGGAGAAGTTGAAAAAGTGCATCCGGAAAACAGGACACTGATCGAGCAAAGCGTTGCTCAAAGAGAAAAAGACTACGCTGTTGCAAGGTAAGTACATGTAAAAGTAAAAAATAAACTTGTTATTTGATATTATGTAAAAGGAGCCATTTAGAAATCCTACGGTCTCATTTTGCTGGCCACACGACTGAAAAAATACCACGCAGGCCCTGCAGACTGCAGAGTGCAGGTCTCGACAACTCATATTTGCTTTTGCAAATTTTCCTCTTCACTGTTTTTGTTGACCCCTTGCAGATTTTTGCTTTATCCAATAATTTTGTGCGTTAATCAACGATAAAATGGTTGGGGTCTAATCCGGGTCGATAATCCGGTTCTTTCTTCAGCATTTGAGAAAGGTCGTCACTGTATTAATAATTGCCGATTTATTGTGATGGACCTGTCTTGTAATTGCAATTGCCATTTTTTAAAGTAATATTTCGGGAATATTTTGAGTTTGCAAATTTTGTATATTCTTATCCAATTAATCATTGCTAAACTGGAGCAAACTGAACCATCTGTGATCTGATTACTGATAGGGTTTTATAGTCCAGTTTGTGGGTAAAATTTATGGGTCAAACTCCACCCATCAATGCGCGCGGCTTGCGCGCGCTATTTATGTACTGACAGCCGCGCGCTTTGTAAAAATATTGCCCACATAGAAAGTAAACACTTGTCAATCAACATTTTGTGCTACGCGCACGCGAGAACTCCTTTTAAATACCCAGAAATCGCCTGGTCAACTGTCGCTAACTGGCCTATGCTGCAATCTATTCATAGCACCAACACGATCGGGATTCTGGAATCGGGACGGTGATAAGATTCAAATAACCAGGCCGCAATTAACATTGTAATTACTTGTAGAAGGTATCTGAATTCCAGGCAACTTAAGACTTCACATAGGATTGAAGCAAACAATCTAGAAATGAAATGTGATAGAATAATTGATAAGAAACGCAAACTTCTTCTGATACAAATGCTCTTGAAACCACCGCTGTTCCTGGGAAATGTTTGTTCCGTCTTGTGACGTGGTACTCACTACTCTGACTTACCTGAATACTCTGACTCCAGCTGGTCGGTGGGTGGTTACTGGAAAGTTAGATTGCTTCTCGTAAAGTAGTTTAACTGTTGTAATTCCTAGGCTCAACTTGAGAAATTCTATTGCTATGATTATACAATATACATTGTAAATACAGTGTACACGTGTTTAGTTTCAACATCTAGGAAACTGTGTTTAGGAGTTGTCGATATTATAATAACCTCAAAGAATAATGTCCTTAATGAAAAATTGCCGCCCAAAAGCGTTTAAATTCGTTATACCACTGATGTCTGTCCCAGACCAGCAGAGGTTAACACTTTAAGTTAGAACTATAAGGATTAAGGAGTTTATTAATTATCGATTCTTCGAATTGCATTAATAATAATGTTCATGTATCCGCAGAGAACGTATAATGGGAAGCAAGTCAAGCTCGAAACCGTCTGGCAGGAGAGATAGGAACAACCACCGCAGGTTAGTTATTTTATGTTTGATTTATATTTTAATGGCCGGTGGTAATTGATCAAAGTCTTCAAAGAATGGGAGGTTGGAATCCTTGAGTGGCAGCAAGTCTAGTTGATATCCTTTTGCAAAGTTTAGTAAAGTCTCATACGTACCCATGTGTCTATTAGAAATATTGACCCAATGATTTAAAACGATTTTTTTTTTCAGAAACAACCAATCCAACGGAAACCAAAGACAACCGGGCTGAAAAATGTAGAGGACAAATTGTAATCAAGTGGCGCAGTGCCTGAACGGTGTTAACTTAGATCTACAAACTTATACCCATGCTCGAGATGTACAATTAATTCATATCCATGTGCAACGACGGAAATATTTCCTTGTGTTTAGCTAAATAATTTAAAATCGTACAGAGAGAGAGAGAAATTGGAAAAAGCATCTGAAATCTTCGGCCGTTATTTACTCGGTCGGAGATGAAAGCGTTGAATTCCATCTAGGTCTTTTGATTTGAAAGTTTAGGGATCAAGATTGGTTTACTTTTTACGGATTGCGGTCTTTGCTTAGTTAACACTGTTAATTGTCAAACGATATCTTGTAAAATTATTTGTAATCGGTGAACATATTCTATTATACAGTATTAGTACAGTGTATTTACACAAATCTACTTTAAGCAAGCTCCTCCCATTTTGATATTAGTTGTATATCTGTTATTAGAGGATCTGATTGGTAAATATAAAGAAAGCAAACTTCAGAGATCTGCCTCAATCTGATTAGTGGAGATTTTAAGCCGTTTGAAGAAGACGCCATATAAGGGCACTAAAGTTCGTGTCAGCTGACAAATCTTGAGCTCAGCGCGATGGCTCATTTCACACTTGGGCGTCTTTTATAAATGGCACGCCCGCAGCTAATTTTCCAAGTATTGCTCCTGAGCGTGTTACCCTATGTGTTATTATCGGTAGATATATCGGGTGGGTCATTAATTGGATCGCAAGAATTCTGTAAAAGTGTCATATATGATCAATAGAAATGGGAACCCACTTGTATTACACCCATTACATGTGTAGGTTAATTATTTTATCTCAGAAGTACCTTCATCAGACGAAATACTCAACCTTTATTGATCGTGTGTGCCAGGTTTGATAACCCTTTCGTTCCATCTACCGATCTGCCTTCCAATATTTTCACATATTGATAACTTTTACCCGATCTAACTGTGCTATGAAGTTTTGGTGTCAAGACTATAAAATATATCTATGTGATCGTGTGAGCTCAGGCTAACTGGGAAGAACACTAGTTTTCAATTTAATAATTCTGAATGCTGAATACATGATCCATCATTGATCAAGAGAAATGTGATATTTGTCTTATTTCCCTGGGTAACTTTTGGTAGTTGTGAAAAAGCGTCTTTCATTTTTCAAGAAAAGTTTAATGTACAAAACGTATACAAAAATCATTGAGCTTCCTCGGACCGAAGTCAAACTTCCAGCACCTGAGCACCTCAATCGTGTGGCTCTTACTAATTCGCTCGCCCAAAAATTTCACGTGACTTTGGTTTTTATGGTTTTACAGCCGTACAAAACGGTTTTACATAAACCCTAATCCCAACCCTAACCCTAACCATAACCCCGAAGCTATCCATAACCCTTACCACAACCCTAACCCTAACCCGAGCCCTAAACAATCGAATTCATGTTTTACTAGCCTGTCACGTGACCAAAACGGTTTTTTGCCCATAACTCTCCAGGGAAGCATTTTTACCCTACGTCATGGGGGTGATTCGGAATCAGCGTCCAAAAATACACCTATCCCGATCAATTTCATACCCAAAGGGCCTTTTCACAAGAATTTTCTTAAAATTTGGGCGAGCGATTTAGTAGGAGCGCAATCGTGTCATAATTCCGAAAAATTATAGTTGCCATATCCTTGAAATCTCATCTTCGAAAATGGGACAGTATGATTTTTCAATTTTCTTCGGGATTTTGACTTCAGTACTTCAATTTGGTTTCATACCATTCTGTCAAAATTGTGTTCCGAAATTTTCATGTTTGTAAATGGGACAGAAATTGGATTAAATATGAATTTCGTTTTGTTAAACTTAGTTGGGTTAGTTTTGCTTGTAATCTGCAATACAAGCAATAGCATTAGCATACTTAACCTTGTCACACGTTGTAAATCCGTCGCGCGGCTGTATCGGGGCAATGGGGGTCACGACCTGATCACTGATACACAACACAAACTTAACCCAGGTCCAGATAATAGCATTAAGTATAACTGTCACCAAGATATAATTAGATCGAACGCAGAAACCGGTTCGATCTAGGAATTAGATCGAACGCGCGGCGCGGCTTTCAATGTATTTGTATATGTATCTCGCGCCAGCGTTCGATCTAATTCCTAGATCAAACCGGTTCGATCTAATTTCTGCGTTCGATCTGATTACATCTTGGTGACAGTAACGGTATAAGTATAACCAAAGTCATCTCAAGTTAATGTACCAAAGTCTGAGACGGCTTGTCCCCTTTAGTGGCCTGGCATCCAAAAACATGCCACTGGATGCTGGTAAACTACTAGATGCTAGAGCTACAATCTTAGAGCTGAACATGACGTACAAGACAGTACTAGTAGTAAACCACACCCCACGAAGGGTGTACAGGAACCGGAGGATGTGCTGTAGTGTATTCTACCGTAATTTATTTCTGCATTAGTACCCATACCCGTAAAATATTCATTAAATGTTTTAGCAGTAAGACTGGCCTCCAGCTCGCCATTTTTGAGATTCAAGTAAATCGTTGATTGACGATGTCAATCCGTCGAGATCGTTGCTCTGCGAAGCAAGAATGCTAGTTTGCGCGGCGCGTCGAAGCGGCGAAGTCCTCCAAAGCTGAGATGAATTGACATCGTCAATTAAGTCGGAATCTTGTAGCGTGATGCGTTACTGTGCCGCGAGATGCGCTATATCGGCGAAATGCGCTACTGTGCCGTGCCGACTCGCCGAGCTGAGATGAATTGACATCGTTATAATTAAGTCGGAATCCTACTTCTAGCACCACAATTGTGTTTTATGCCAACTAATTCGTCCTTGACACGGCCAAAGGCAAAAGTATCAATTTGATTTTTAGATTTAGGGACGCTGCAGAAGATCGAGTACTATAAAATACTAAGCGAATTTATGTGATCCCTGTTATCCCAGCAGGCTAAAATTAAATCTTAGCGTAGTCTGAAAAGTGAAAATGCCAAAAATTTCATTTTTTCATGACCATGAACACTTGCTAAATTAATATTCATCCAGTTTGCTAGTCTCTGAATGTGGCTCGTTTCTTTTTGGCTCTAAATTAAGTAAAAGAAATACGGATAGAGGGGATGGCCAGCCAAGTTAAATTGATATCTGACGTTAAGTGTACAAGTTCTTTTGTCAAAATCATCAGTTTTTGATCGCTTAAAACGTTTAAAACATCAATGAGTTTTGGACACAAACAATGCACAAGGACGTGGATAGATGTGGATTCTGGTGGGGAGGTAATTATACCAATAACCATATATGGAATAATTCCATGGATTGATCACGTGTCAACTTTCACTCTTTCAGGTAAACAAATATGCCTCATCTCCCTACCAGAATCCACATTCATGAACATATTAATCGTACGACACGAATTTATGTACATTGATAGATACTTGATAATAGTGGCATAACATCAAATTCAAAAAACAACTGTAGAAAAGTAATTTCCAATATTGCATTTTACAATTTATTTTAATCTCTTCTTAAATATAATTTAATGAGCCAACGGCTCATAAAAAATATCAAGTCTAAGCATTTATACAAAACTATATGGCCTCGTTCAAACCGAATGTCTTACCTTTGTCCACACATCTGGGAAGGGAAAGGAACTGATAGGTGGTGCCCACCTCACAGAATATCACCTCACTTCCCAACAAGGTGAGAGTATCCGAGTCACATGAGACTGTCACGGGGGTCCCGTACAACAGGGGGAAGGTAGCGTTTGTTTGCAGATCGTCCACAAAGAGCAGCTCATTGCACGTGTCAATCTGTTAACTTATTGACGGTTAAATTATTTGTTTATCAATTCTGCAGATGAATTGTTGTTGGTTTGAAGGCCAAGTCTTAGTGTCCTAAAATACTCTCATACCCCCAGGAGTGGACCCCGGGCCCCGGCCTTGACAGGAGTATCTTAAACAATAATCTCAGAATGAATGTGTGTTTTCTGTGTGTGCGTGTGTAATTTCCGAGCGGCTTAAGCCTTAATCAAAAAAACGGTAAGAATTACGGGGCTGATTTTTTTCGGTAAAGTGCCGACAAAACTCTGACGAAGTTAAATGGCAAAGGTTTTTTAAATCGGTCGGTGGTAAGTGGTATAATTGATGGTTTTGTACCACAAATGTTACATAAAATGGCTGGAGCAGCTTAATCAAGAAAACGGTAAGAGTTACGGGGCTCGTTCTCTCTCCCATTACTGTATATGTATGATGTAGCTGCATAAGTAATAACCATAATTGGGTTAGCGGGATAAGATTCGCTGCCATGTTATACTATAATCTTATAAGGGAGGGGGCACTGTTTGGGGTCTGTTTGAACTGCAGAGAGAGTTCATACTTTCATGCGTAATCTAAAATCAGACCTTATTTATATTCACGCTGGACTGGAAGATTTGTATAAAAACAAAACCACCCCAAAAGACCTCATTGCAAACTACAAAAAACTTGTATATGATCTATTGGAATCTACATCAGCTAAAGTATGCATTTCGCTGATGATCCCAATACCAGGATTACCGGACATAAATGAAGACATATTATACGTTAACAAAGAAGTTTCGAACTTTGTCTCGTACTTAAGAAGGCGAGGAAACTTTGCAGACAGAATATACTGCTCTTGTAACGAACGTCTTGGAGGATTCGTTACAAGACTATCCAACTCCCAAAATAGAGACCTCTCTATTAACGAGAACGGAAAGAGGTTACTCTGGTTGAGGCTCAAAGATTGCTTCTATAGATGCCTTGACCTACCGAACGCTAGCTCACTCTCAAAGGAACGGACTCTAAATGAATAAAACACACAGATTGCCTCCTGTCGCACAAAAGGTCACTATGCTCGAAAACCTCCCTATTTTATCATGGAACATCCACGACTCGGTTATGAGCCAAGAAGGGCCCAAAATGGAAGACAGTGACTTTGTCAACATCCTGACACAAAGCAGCGTCTTTTGCCTGCAAGAAACCAAACAGGACTTTTTTCTCCCCAACTATGAGTGCTTCAACAGCACAAGAAAAGGCTCTCGATCGGGTGGAATTTGCATTGGGGTACATCGCTCAATTTCAAAACAAGTAAAGCTAGTCAAAACAAATTGCCCTGACTTCCAAGCTATTACTTTCTATCCCAATGATATGGAAAACAAGTTCACCATCATCAATGTCTACGACTCACCAGAGCAGTCGTCGTACAAGTCAAAACGCAAGGCTGGAGATGGCTCCCCTTACATGACAACATTAGAGCACCTCCTTGACTTTAAAGCTCAGAATCCCGATCTTGGCAAGATGTTGCTGGTGGGTGACCTAAATGCCCGTACTGGAAACACAAACTTCGAATTTGAAGATGACGACCCTAACTCTGAACCAGATGAAATCCCCTCCAGCCATCCGAAGACTAGCGGGAGAGTAAGCAAGGATCAAGTACTTAACTCTAGGGGTAACCTACTGTTAGATTTCCTCGCTTGTAATCGACTATTGCTGCTAAATGGTAATACACTGGGAGACATCTTTGGGGAATATACCTCTGTCAACTACAATGGTGCCAGCGTAGTTGACTATATGGCAGTCACACCTGAATTGTTGGAATCAGTGCTGTCATTCCAAGTGCAGAATCTTAACAAATTTTCTGACCACAAGCCGTGCATCTGCAAAATAAAGCACAAACACAACTTGGTTGATGCAGAGGATCTACTTGAAACACTAGAAGACGCACCTAAAAAATACAAATGGGATAATGAGGACGAGAAACTTCAATTTCAGTTTCATGCGATCCAGAATTCGCCAGAATTTGTTCAGAAAATAACCCGAATCGCGGAAACCCAATGCACAGACAGAAAACAAGTTTTGTGTCTTAATGAAGAACTCGTATCTATCTTCCAAGACATTGCCGATGTTATTCTTCCGACAAAGGGTCCGAGGAACAAGCCAGATAGGAAAATGATGAGCGGAAAAAGAAAAAGAAAAGAAAAAGGAGACAAAGGATGAAGCCCAAAGCTCCGTGGTTTGATGTAAGTTGTATAAACGGCAAGCGGGAGTTGAACAAACTGTCCAAAAGTTACGGCAAAAATCCTACAAATAAAAAACTCAGAGACTCTTACTATGAAAGTCGACGATCATATCGGAAACTCAT